AATGCAGAGTCTTCTATTAGAACTGAGTAATAATGCCAGGATGTTTGGGATGCGTTTCTCCCCACCCAAATGTAAATTGTTACTCCAGGACTGGCCTGCATCAACACCTGAACTAAGGACAGGGAGTGAAGTAGTCGAACGCGTTGACAACTTCACTTATCTTGGAAGTCTGATCAGTCCTAATGGGTTGGTTTCTGACGAAATCAGCACGGATTCAAAAAGCTCGCTTGGCTTTCGCCAACTTACGTCACCTATGGCGAAGACGAGATATCCGTCTATCAATTAAGGGACGAGTATACTGCGCAGTAGTTCGTTCTGTTCTACTTTACGGTTGTGAAACATGGCCATTAAGAGTAGAAGATACTCGTAGGTTACTAGTATTTGACCACAGATGCCTTAGAAATATTGCTCGCATCTGCTGGGATAACCGGGTAAGTAATAGTGAGGCTAGACACAGGGTACTAGGAAATGATGGTAAATCAGTGGATGAGGTGATGAATCCTCATCGACTGAGATGGTTGGGCCATGTGTTACGTAGGCCTGAACACCGATTACCACGACGCGCAATGTTGACTAGTGTAAGGGATGGTTGGAAAAGAGTTAGGGGTGGCCAAACCAAAACATGGCATCAGTACTTGAAGTCACTAACTTCTAGTATGAGCCATGTTGTTAGATGCAGACTAATTGGTTGGGGTCCGCGTGACTATCGTAACCAATGGTTGGTGACTCTGGGTGACATGGTTCTGAATCGATCACAATGGCGTAGGTGTATACACTCTTTATCCTCCCTTAAACCTTGAGATTAAAATTGCCTCATAACTTTTTTCCTCCCTATACTATATTTTTATATACAACCTTTCTTTATATACTACCACCACTAAATTAATTACTTCTATGAATCCGGTGTTCATCTTGTTGTGTTAACGAGGTATGGCAACTTGGACTGATGCATATATGTACCTGGTCCTACGTTGTCGCTGACTGACTGACTGACTGACTGACTGACGTTAATATAGTACGGTAGCTTGGGCTAGCGCAAATATATTCTAGGTTCTATATCGATTATGACTAATTGATGGCTGAAATATACCATATGTTTTTTGGTAGATATGAACAGTGCTGTTACTTGACGACTGATTCATATAATAAATGATTCACTGATATTATACTTTTGATAAACAGATTTAAAAAGACAGAATAACTATTCAGTGGAAATGGGTTGCTTTCGCTTATCGCAATAACACATATAAAGGATATATCACATATAGTTGATCATGATTCTATAATTAACTAAACTTTCTGTACATGAACTATGTGGTAAATTGCTAACCGCTCGTTATATTTCAGATTTAGAGGGCGATTCCGTAAGACAAACGACTGAAATTCTTCCATCACGGTTAGGAACTTATGTGAACTCGATAGTACAGCTACCGACCCACACAACGCTTTGATAAAATGTCAGCAGAACCGTACTATAGTGAAAACCTTGACAGACTTGTCAAACAATTAGAAACGTGTATTTAGTTACAAATAAATTTAGATTGAACAGACAATATCATCTAAATTAATGGACGAAAAGCAGGTTTCGGGTTAGAAATTAGAATTCCAGATAGAGTCAGGAGAGAAGGTTAGGAGTGTTACAGTTAAGAACTGAGGATAGGGTTTTCATCGCGAAATGACATAAACTATAATCGTAATACAACTGTGTTAGGATTAGTAAACAGAATTACGACGGCTAGGCTTTGGAGCTGAGGTTAGAGTCGAGGAAGGTATTTTAGCCATACCAGTATCCTTGACTATATTTCAAATTATATCAAGTAAAGTCAACGTGTAATTAAAAACATTGATTTAATGAACGCATAAACTGTCCTTTACTGTGTTTTGAACTTTTTACAAAATCTTTCAGTCTCTATCCTACATGTGATTTGCTCCCTGTAGGTCAGCACTATAATGTAGTTTTACTGGTCTATCTATCACTTCAACTATCAGTTTCAGTGACTACCAACGGACATGATTAATCTTTATTTTTTACCGTAATTTGTACTTTGCTATTGTTGTACCACAGAATCTCATAGGATTAGTCTTTGTTTACATTGGAATTTATGTAAATGTCGATAATATTCTTGCATCAATAGTTCAATAGATAATGCTCCAGGACTGTAAAGCAATGGTCACTGAATTCAAATCTTTCAACGAATATGTCGATACATATGGTAAATACAACCTGCTGACAAGTTTCAAGTACAGAGAGGCTATTCGTCTTGGATTCTACCTATAGTCACTGTCTAAAGTGTTATATCTTGAGATAGTAATCGATATCACGTGTAAAAGTCACCGATCAGGATTCTGATTATCGTTTGGTTCATCAATATTGCTAACAAGACTGGTAACCTTTTAGGTACCCAACGATATACCGACCAACAAACAACACCAAAGACCTTGAGGCTTATTGGTCCTAACGCACCTTATAACCCAGCAGTCAATCAGAAAACGAAGGCAGACCTCAGACTAGTCCTCTACTGTACTCAATTCAATTATGGCTCAAAATCCACACAAAAATATGTATGAAATGAGATCATGAACCGATCGATGTTAGACTACCATTAAAGCCTGGAAGCATTGAATGGTAGTGTTCCGTTTCATGTTCGAATCCCACGTATGGACTGAGTGAGCACTGCTGAGGAGTTCCATACTAGAATGAAATGGCCATCCAGTGCTTTCAGGTTTTCAATGGTTATCCAACATTGGTCAATTCATGGTCTTAATTAAAATTCAACATTTTTCACAATCCTATACTAACACTTGAAATACCTGAGCGCACACCCCATCAAATAAGAAACCATACTTTATACACAATCATCCCATAGATGATAGAAGGCTGAGAAACCAGTAGATAATTAGTTAGCAATAACTAAAGGACAGTAAAACGGATAAAAATGGTTGACAAGTCCACTAAAGGCTTACGATAAGGAGAATATCTCAATGTAATCTGATAAACAGAGACAAAAGTTCCAACTTTTCCAATAATCATCCTTTCATAACGATAAAGACGTGCTCATTCAAAAGAGTGTTTATCACAAGAGAAACTTTTCATTGACCAAAAATCGTTTTATATACCATAACCTGATCATTTCTTCCAGATTATTAATAAAATGTATCGATGAAATGGGTGAAATGAATTCAGTTGTCACTTTAGGGATAGTTCCATTGGTGAGTAAAAACGTAATCATCAATATCACGATTTGTCACAATAATTTACTAATCAAATGAACTTATAAATTCATCCCATCAAATGATAATATAATAGTTTGTATTTATCTTATGTTCATATGAAGAATTAAAAATGTTATTCATGTTTAAATTCAACTTAGTATTGTTTGTTTGAATCTTCCCATCGATTTGTTAGGACTGCAACTGGTCAGTCTCTAATTGGCATATGTGCATACTGTGCGTATTGCCTCGATATAGCCTTAATTCACAAGCATGGTTAGCAGAGATGGATAGTGGCTAGCAGTGGAATCCAGGACGCTCGTTTCGTCCTATTTGGGACTCGTCAGACTGGCGTTTGAAGCGAGGGTACTGGGTTCGAGTCCCAGGGTGAACATCGACTCTGAGATGCAGGTACATCCAGTTGACGAGTCCCAAATAGGACGAAACGCGCGTCTTGGATTCCACTGCTAGCCACTATCCATCTCTGTTATTCATGTTGTTTATGAGAAGAGATTGTGAATTTTTATCCTTAATAAAGAGTCTTAGAGCTGAACTAAATAGTTATCCAGTAGTTTCTAGTTTCAAAATATTACATAGACTGATGTTAGTCCATGAAAAATACAAATTACTTTAATGATGTTGTATTCTCTAAACTATATGACTTAATTGTACAGCCCTTGCGGTCTGGTGTGTGACGAAATCTCAGCACAGATACAGAAGGCTCGTCTAGCTTTCGCCAACTTGTGCCATTTATGGAGTAGGTGATATATCCATTTAGCAACCAAAGGACGGGTTTACTACGCAGTAGTTCGTTCCGTCGTACTTTGTGGCAGTGAAACATGGCCGAAAAGAGTAGAGGATATTCGTAGGCTACTAGTATTCGATCATAGGTGTCTTCTAATCATAGCTTGTATATCCCGGGATCACCGAGTAATTAATGCAGTTGCTAGGATATGGGTACAAGGTAAGGATGACAAATCTATTGATAAAGTAGTGAAACTTCATCAGTTGAGATGGCTAAGACACGTGCTACGTATTCCCAACCACCGACGGCCCCGACGTGCAATATTTTATAGTGTAGGAGTAGGTTGGAAGAAAGCTAGGGGCGGCCAGACCAAAACATGGCGCAAATGCATCAAGTCACTGACAAGTGGACTGAGCCATGTTGGTAGGTGTCGACTACGTGGTTGGGATCCTCAAGTTGATAGCAACCGATGGTTAGAGATCTTGAATGACATGGCTCAAAATCGTTTGGAATGGCGAAGTTGCATCCAATCTTTGTGTTCTCCCAAATTCTGATCTTCTGAATTCTTCACGTCTCTATCTTTTTTCTCTTTTCAAATTTGTTTTGCTGGATTATACTCCTTGAGTAACATTTTCAACTCCTAATCTTTCCGATTACTGCTTATACTCCTACTACTTCTACCATTATGGGATTTGAATCGACAACTATATCTCCGTGTTAATGTGGTATGGCAACTCGAACTGCTATACTTACGTAAGAAGTTCTTCGTTGTAGCTGACTGACTGACTGACTGACTTTCACAGTCATTCTGGATAACATTATCAGCCTCTGCTTCAAAATATGATCCAAAACAATAATTAATGCTTCATAAATAAACTATAAAGCCTAAAGGACACATAATATTGTCAAAAGCATCCACTTCAGTCACCAAATCTTCTCTATTATTTCATAATGCTAATCATTTTTATTGACCAATCTTTAATACCAACCACTTCATAATTCTTTATATGACCTCTGTTTTGTTTCTTCTTTTTTGAATTTCTAGAATGCTTAATGGACCAACTGTCCTATTAAAAACTAGTACAACATCATTATGTAATCCAACAAGATCATCATCATTATCATCATCATCATCATCATCGACAAATAATAATCATAATAATAATGATCCAATTAAAACTGATCTATCTCAATCATCATGTTTACCCACTACATTATTTTCTAATTATTCAATGCATTCAATACATAATCATCCTATATACACTACAAATCTATCTAATCTAACTTCATCATCATCATCCATACTCTATAGTAATACTAGATTGAATAAAGATAATCATTGTATGAATGAAACTATTCAAACACATAGACTATTTGATTCATTTAAACAAACAAATGTAAAGTGTAGTAATGATACATTGTTAATTCATCAAGGAATCAATCAGAAAACAAAATCCTCAGAACAATTAACATTGAATAATGATGAAATGATGATCATTAGACGAAGATTACCACCATTAGGTAAAAGTGATAGTAGTGAAACAGGTTTACAAATCGATAATAATAATAATAATAATGAGACTAATAATAGTATCATTACTATGGCAACTAAAATTGTAATTGAATCTGATTCCAATGAAAATTCTAATGATAAAAATAGTCATATTAATAAATATAAAACTATTGAAGGAGGATATATAAGTAATGAAGAAATTGCTAGTGGGAAAATGTTACAATGTCAATCAGATGTAGTGAATATTGAACATAAGTAAGTTTCTTGTTATTGTTTAAATGATGTCTTCAGTATAAGGATGTTGTAGACTCTTGAACTTTGTTGAGACCACGAAGTTGGACAACTATTGAAAAAGGAAAGCACCGGACAGGTATTTCATCCCAAGAATGGGATTAAATAGTCATGTGTATCTACTGGCCTGCCACTTGGAATCTAACTCAAGATACTAGGTCTCGAGCGTGAATGTTGAACTTCTAGACCACTGAAACGGGATCTAATGGTGTACAAAAATGACTTTAATCAACCTTCAATATTGCTTACTGCTGGGGAGTACTTTTTAGTCTAGTCACATTTATCAACGTTGGATGTTTTGATAACTAAGTACAAACTATACACCACCTTGTACTGAATTTCACACAAATATCCAATAACGGATATCTTAAATTTGGTTGGATCGTCGCTACTGTGTAGTTCTACCAAAATAAAATGGAAAGGGGAGTCATGTCAGCAAGTTATGGAATATATTTAAGTGTCAGGGTGGTTGAAAGGAGTCGGTAGGAAACTCAACACCACACTTATGTCGTACCAATTGGGAATCATCAATAAAACGCACATGTAGTCTTGAGAAGACTGATATTCTATGTAGAATTCAAATTTTGGTTACCCAGTTTCACAGTGTCAATCGCTATCACTTAGTTATTCAGACAATGACTGATTTATCATAGAACTGAATCTTTTACATCTCTCAAGTATTGTGTATTGACCAGTGTCATGTTTGTCTAGTCTGTTAATGCTAATATAATTTTATAAATCAAGTTAAAATTAAATATTCGTTGTAGTCGATCAGTAACCATAGTAACTAATTTCATGGCTAGATAGAGCATGGGTGATAACCCATTTGAAAAATATATACCATAAATTTCTTGTACATTTCGTCGATTTCATTTTTTAAACCTTCATGCATATATAAAAGCTTATAGGTTCAATTCATTAGAAATATTACTATACTCAAAACAGTTTTGGGTTAGATAATGAAACCATGAGTGTTTGACCACCATTGAAAACCTGTAAGCACTGGACGGCCGTTTTGTTCTAGTGTTGAACTCCTCAGTAGTGTGTATTTACGATCTTGAACGCGACATCCGAACACAGAACCTTAGGTCTCGTATGCTGACGCTTAAATTCTAAAAGATTGAACTGGCATCCAACTCTGTTAATGTCTAACTTCAATCGATCCACAAAATTGCACGACCATCTTCCGTTGTCTGAGGTAAATACCTGTCTCTACCTGATACAGATTGGTTCCACTCGGAAATTTGTTGACAGTACATTTTTGGCTTATTAGAGAACATAAAAATATTGTAAGCAAAGATGAACATAAAAATAGCAGTGGAATCCAGTTTGACGCGCGTTTCGTCCTATTTGGGACTCGTCAGCTGGATGCACCTGCATCCTAAAGTTTATGTTCACTACGGGACTCGAGCCCAGTTCCGTTCAATGCTAAGATTCAAACAAACAATACAAAAAAAATGTCAGATCTTTTTATAATCTTTACTTATTTTTCCATTTATTTTTCTTTTAGTGGACTAACAAAACCAACTTTCCCAATCACATCATATTCTAGTCTACGTGATATTGATAATGATCAAAGCATATGCCGTTATTGTCATAATCGATTGCCAAGTTGTACACATCAATTGAATTTACTTCAACCTACAGATAACACTACTATTACTACTACTACTACTACTACTACTACTACTACTACTAATATTAATAATAATATTAATAGTAGTTTATCAACTAGTATGTTGGGTAATCGACAAAAATCCACATCAGCTATACCATCATGTTCAACATATGAAATTAGACCAAATACAACAGGGAAATTATCAGAGTATAAACATGAATCTTATGATCCTTTATCTAATAATAATAATAATAATAATCCTTATTTTTATAATAATCATCATAATGGTAAAGATAATGATAAACTATTATTTCCTGCTAATTTCTGTCATGATAATTTATGTATAATAACACCAAGTCAATATTCAATTAATTATGTAACAAGTGTTCAATGTTCACCATCACATCATACATATCTTGAATTAAATAAATCAAATCTTTCATATACTACTTCCATCACTACTACTACTACTACTACTACTACTAATACTAATACTGATACTAATACTACTAACAATAATATAAGTAGTAATAATGATCATGTACAAAGCTTAAATTATCTCCATAGTAATACATTTAATACTCCAAATCATTTTACAGGGGAAACACTTTTAATACATACTAACAATAGTAATGATAATGATAGTAATCATAATAATCATTATACAAAATCATGTACAAAAGTGGATCAATCTCATTCCGAGTCCATAAGTGGACCATTTCGACGTATATCATTATATTTTACAAATGATACTCAAAATACTAATAATACTAATAGTAATGACAATCATAGAGAGAAACCGCAACAATTCAAATCAGTAATTCGTAATAGTATTCCAAGTTATTCTATATTACGTGGTTCATTAAAAAGTTATATTACTGAAGCTACATACAGAACTAATGGTAATCGTGGTATAAAAACAGTAAGTCATCAACATACAATAACTGTACCAACAGATTCAACGAATTCATGTCAAGCTTCATTAATACGAATCCATACTACTACTAATAATAATAATAATAACAATAATAATAATAGTAAAGGTAATAAAAATACAAATGAACATTTTAATACAATAACTGATGATAAACATACTGATGAAATGATAGTTGATAATGAAGTATCAACAATAAGACGTAGTTTAAATTCAACAAATAATACAAGTCAAATTATACAAGATCCAAGATCAAGAACATGTTGTTTTTGTTGGTGTTGTTGTTGTTCATGTTCATGGTAAGTAACACACAATGTTCATTTATAAGTAGAGATTGATAGTGGCTAACAGTGGAATCCAGTTTGATGCGCGTTTCGTCCTTTTTGGGACTCGAACCCAATACCTTTCGCTCCAAAGGCCATCACGTTATCCACTCAGCTGCTGAGTCCTGTTATCTACTGGGTTCGAATCCCAGAGTGAACATCAACAAGTCTGAAATGTAGGTACATCTAGCTGACGAGTCCTAAATAGGATGAAAACGAACGTCAAACTGGATTCCACTGCTAGCCATTATCCATCTTTGTTTACCGGGCTTGTGAATTAAGGATATATCTAGGCAATATGCACAGTATGCACATATGCCAATTAGAAACTAACCAGCTGTAGTCCTAACACATCCATAGGAAGATTCAAACAAACAATACTAAATGAATTTAATGTTCATCTATGTTGTATAACTATTTGTTATAACTTCTGACTAATTGAAGGTAGAATTAAGATTTGAATGTATTTTAACCGTTGAATCCACGAGTAAATCTAAGCTAAACCACCATTGAGAACCTGAATGCACTTTGTCCTAGTATGAGATCCCTCAGCAGTGCGTAGCCACGATCCCGCACGCGGGACGTCTAGTGCTTCGAGGTTTTTGTAATGGTGTTGCAGCTTAGATCGACTCATGAATTCAACTGTTTAAACACTACAATCTCCACAAATCCCCATACTGACTTAAATCGATGTTATAGCTTATAGTATGAGATATCAAGTCAGTGTACACTGATGATTCTTTCATGGATTGAAATGTGAATATTTAAATAGTTTAGTGAGAAACAGAAAGATAAAATTACATCTGTTAGTTGTAAGTGAATGGTTTAGATTGGTGACTACAATTAGTTTATAGAAATATATGTACCATGTTCATTGTTAAGTGGTTGGAGATAGTCGACAAGAAATCTTGATTGACATAGGTTTCGTGATATTAGGAACTTATCAGTAAGGTATACCTGCAATCTTCAAGGTTTAGTTGTTCCTTGATGGATTTAAAGCCTGATCATTAAGCTTTGTAATATGAGGCATTACCAAACAACCGACTTCTTGTATTGTGGTTTATGCTCCTTATATCGACAGACATAAGTAGTATGCAACACCGATCAGAAGTGGAATGCATAGTAGCAGAATGCTAAAAAGATCAGATTGAAGATAACAGAAATGGAAATAGAAAGAAAATGTGAATTGGAAGAATCATACAGAATGTGAGGGACAATTGATGGAAGATCTATAAATGAAGTATTTCATGTATGGCTCTCATATTTTACGAAGATATTCCGTAATTTTGTACTGATTAATAAATTGGTTGTCCCCATCTGAGCCTTGTTCACTACAGTATGGCTGATGTATTCGCATTGGTGAATCATTGATTAATGAATAATGTCATACTTATCTAAACCTTGGTACCTATCTATTTCTGTTGATCACGTTGCTATGTGTCAATCACAAGCCTTAGTGACTCAATGTTTATGTGCACTATACAGTCCACCATCGTAATGATGATACTGAGATCACAATTAGATTAGCATTTAATGGTGAAGCCGTGACTGGTAAACTTCAAGCATATTGAACCACATTATACGAGTGTTGACTAGTGTCACGAACTGACTGAAGAACTAGATTTAGTCTAAATTATCCAAGTACCACGAAACGTCATTATGAGAACTAAATCAGAATTTATTCGGACAATGATAACTATTCGGGATTATTGAGTAACCATCAACTATTGTCGTTAATAAAATTGCGATAATCGCCAAATTTACTTCTTTACTAAAATTCACCTTATACTTGTTAGTGAATAACTTTGAAAGGTGATTTTCCTAGTCTTAGTGAAAAGCTTCCACCGACAGATTTCAACTAACTGGTCAAAATCAATCTGTGATAAGGGAATGCAAAATAATATGTTTTTAATTACCAAAATATGTTATTAGAACAGGGAAAAGATTTATATAAATTGCTTTATTTGAAATTCTCCATGGACTATCATCGATTGGAAGACTACCAAAAATCAAAGAATACTTTTCAGTAGCGTTACTGTTGCTTGAGACGTGTAGACAGTCTCAACCATGAAACTACAAAAGATCAAACCCAAGATTCTCGATACTCTTGGGATTTAATAAAATATCAGACTAACTTGTCAAGATCAATTAGTTTGTGGCCCTGTTAGGCAATCATTTAAATTTTTCAGTAACTACTATCCCTCCCGTCAACATGGATAACCTTCATCTGTCATGATTCTTCACTCTAGCCCTAAATGATGTTTATTCAGAATGTAGTCCATCTGTCAAGTAAAGCTATCTCCATAAAACCTCACAGTCATGATATATAAAAAGCGTTTTTTCATCGGTCTTCTAACCACACTGTTGTTTAAATATTAAAGTACGTAAAAATGTTATATACTTGAATAAACGTTGTAACATAATTTCATTTCTTTTTATTTGGGGAGCATTTAATACAGCTCACAGAAGTCTAGTAATGTGTATTTAGTGTTAATTTCTTGAAACATTGGTTTCCATGACTTCGTCATGTGACTTCCACATTTAGCTTTATTTCCCGTCGCTGGAAATAAGTGCAGGAAGCAGAAAAGTCATCAGTTTATGATATGGTGCTTTGGTTCGAAGAGTAGTTGTTTAAAAACTGACATCTCTCAGCTCATCATGAGAGATAATCTAATTTACTACCTTAAGATGTTAACACATATGGATCAAAATAGTAGCCAGTAGTAATCATGCTTCTCTTCATTTACGTGGAGCATTTTTGTGATGCATAATGGTATCAGAGTTTATGTACTTTACATAACGACATAGACAAAGTCTATTCTTAGTTGAGTAAAGAAATTTTTAATTGATAAAAGAGTTTGTCTATAATTTTTCTTCTTTTGTTTCACATCTGGTATTATGATGAATATAGTATACGTGTACGTGCAAATCTTGGTGAATCAAAAAGGCCGTCGGCATCTAATGATCCACAATCAACAGTAGATTGTCAAATTACCGATGAAAAGTAAGTTATCATCAATAATTTCGTTATTTTTTTACTTTATTGAAATTTGTCTGATCTATTCAACTAACTGATGAAAAGAAGAAGAAGAAGAAGACTTATTAATATTAGAAGGTTGCTAAACCTGTTGTCTGGTCTACTTATATCCATATAAGTAATATATAATGATGGTCAGACATAGAATGTATTTTGGCAGAAGACCGATAAGGAAAGAACTGAAATGAAGCGCAATTGGTAGTAAAATGCATGAACAATGAAATCAGAGAAGGCGGACTGATATTTACAGAAGGAACAGTCAAGATTGAGACAATTGATTGTTATTTTGCAAATTAACTGTTTGTTGTATGGTTATCAGAATTTAGTGAGATAGTCTGTAATTTGTGATTATATACATTCGATTGTCCCCAGCCGTGTTTTGTTCACTAAAAACCTACTGAATTTATGATTTAATACTATAGAGTGAATTTAGCTAAACAAACGTCGAAAAATAGAAACGACTTCTTAAATGTTTTGTCCTACTATAGGACTACTCAGTAATGCTTACCCATGACTTCAAGAGATATCGAAGTTGGGTCATTCAAGCCTCTCAGTGAATATATTACCTTTAGACCAATGAGTTTTCATCGAATGGTATACCAATAATCATCAAATGATCCTCACAGATTTAATGAGAAACCATGACCAGTAGAGTTTAAAGACAGATATTAGTAATGCTAGTCAGCAATGCTTGAAAAATATTGTGAACTGACTGAGGCTAGAACTGCGAGTCATTGGATACCAACTCGGCGGTTTGAATGTTAAGTGTTCACTGTGAGGTTTGACATTCTTAGAGTCTGATGACTGTTGATTTGATGATGACAGTTATAAGTTTCATTGAAACAGAAGTAAATACGCTACATTCATTCAAGTTTCTAAAGATTCTCTGGTTTAGAAATTGTTTGAATCCTGAACTGATTTAAGCTGAGTAACCATCGGAAACCAAAGAATATATAGGACTATTTTGTTGAAATATTGAATACGCTTAACAATGAACACATAGTATCTCCAAGGGCGTTACCATATGACTATTGATTGAAAATATAATCGTTCACATTTCTAACTACTTCACGACCATCATCCATTGTTGTGTTTAACAAAAGTCTCATTTTTGATGTGTGCAAAAAGACTTCACTTGTCATGCTTTCTCACTAAATTCTCGGGTATCCTTCTCAAGCTTCATTAGAAATAAGCAGATGTTTAATATTAAGATAGTATTATGATCCATGGCGTCCAGTTCAGTTAAATATGTTATGTCAGATTATCACTAAGAGAACTTCCATAGTAAATCCACCTTGAAGCTAATCACTAACGTGTTCAAGACTTATTATTATTACTACTACTGTGGTGTGTACTACTGATGTCTACATATATAAGTAGTATGTATCACCAGCTGAAAGTGAAATACCTGGTGGCAGAAGGTTAAGAAGATCAAAGAAAAGAGAACGCGAACAGAGAATGATCGATGTGGAAACAAAAGAACAATGAAGTCTGAGACAATTGATTGATATTTTGCAAATGAAGTATTTACTGTGTATGGTTCTCAGATTTTATTAAGATGTTCTGTAATTTTGTATTCAACTACATTTGATTGTCCCCACTTATGTCCTCATTCACTACACTACTACTCTGAAGTAGTTTAATGGAAGTGTTGAAAAGAAATAAAGTCTATGAATCAAACTTACATAACTAACTAAGTAGATAAATGAGTCAGATATGACTGTTTATAATTTCTTTTTTTCATACAGAGAAAAGGTGTTTCAATGATTTGTATTTATATAAGAATGATACACTGAAAATATCTTCAGTATTGGGTCATGGAGATTGTTAAGTTTTGACTGAAATCATGAATCGATGAATGTTAGACCACCATTAAAAGCCTGAAAGTACTGGATAGCTGTTTCATCCTAGTATGAGATTCCTCAGCAGTACATACCCACGATCCCACTCAAGGGATGCACTGCTGACGAGTCCCACACTAAGACGAAACGACCGCCTAAGTCTAATATCAATCGATTCATGATCTTAATGAATGATTATTGTTATTTCACCATTTTACTTAATTTCCATTTTAGAATAACCCTAGAAGAATTAGAGAAATGGGCAGAATCATTTGATATATTAATGAGAAGTTCAAGTAAGAGATTTTTTGTTGTTCATCTCATTATCATGTTTTCAATGTTAAGATATTCATGTTCTATATTAAAGTATAATTTATTGATTAAGTATAAAGATATATTGTATCAGCTTTCATTTGTACTTGTTCGGGAGTGAGATCTACTGATGGTGATATAGTGTAGAAGATTCGTAGCTCAGGTGAATGATTCTGATGGAGTTTTGTTATGTGAGCTGGATGGTTTGGTAGCCGTTCTTTTGAAGGATTGTCTTCAAGTATTTTTCTTCATATTTTTCGTGCTGTAATTGTTCTCACCCTCTTGAACAAGGTTTGTACGTAGTTGATTTTGTGAGCGTTTGGGTTATTGCCATTGTAGTTAAGAATTTAATTGATTGGTTTCCTGTACACGTGAGTCTCCAGTTTACCTGTGTCGGTTCTGATGATTATTATATCCAAGAATGATAGATTGTCGTTTGACTTCTGTTCCATGACTAAACCATCCAGCTCAGAGAATAAAACTCCATCTAGGTAGATGATATGGAGTTCTTATATAAAGAATGATTTAATTATAATTCATATTACTCAACAATCCACATGTCTTGATCACATCGTATTGGATACTATTATTGACAATAATAAATATTGTGCGTATGACATTAGAATACAGTTACAAAGCAAGTTTATCAAAAGATAGAACTATTTGTAAGCAAAACTTTGCAGAAACAAGAGGGTAATACAATACAGTATTTATATCCTTTTAATCCTGAACTGATGTACTGTAGAAAGATAATTACATAACCATAACTTTTGATAACAATATTATATTTTCGATTGTAAACTCAAAAAACATGAACATTGACTATGTTATATCGTGTGGGTGCGTGCCCAGTTGATACATATGAACGTGCTGATTCCCGCCTATCAGAGAGCAGTGAATTATCGATCAGAGCAATGACACACAAAAGCCGTACGAGCAGTCTTGAGTACTTATCAGTCCTCCTTTCTGCCTAGTCCAGCCAGTTAAGTCCAGAACACCAATAATAACTTCTGCAATATGAATCATCATTCTCAAACATACTGGGTTTATATACCAAACAAACCGACCACATCACACCACAAAATAGAAAATAACATTAGGACAAGATTCGGCAAATGTGGCTGTGAATAGGGGTGAACAGTAATTAATGGACTAGGGATAACTCAAGAATGGTAAATCGTACAATAATAGCCTATGGGTCAAAATGAAGCTTATAAAAAGAGGTACACGAATATGGATACTTTAGTGACTTAACAATTATAAAATAGGAAATATACATATCATATTGGTCCATAAATAATGTTCAAAAGTTACCATTCATAAATCTCTTCGAGATATAACAGACTAGGAATGAATAGGTATGTTACGCTATCACTTATATAAGTCATATTGACAATTACTAACATAATATTTGATTAAGATCATATCAAATTACTTGATTAAAGTAACTTCTTAGAATAATCAGAAAGTTTTAAGAAGCACTGAATTTAAGTTCATTTACATTCAACAGACAAATCGATATATATCGATCCATGAGGAAAACACCAACTAATTACAAGATTAGGGATTAACTGGGACAAAAAAAACAACCAATAGGAATAAAAGAACATATGATGAATCATTCAAATACAAGGTCATTAGAATAAACTAACTTGTGAAATGATAAAGATCTTCACTTCTATTCAAATTCATAATCAATAATGTTTATCCAAAACATTAATGGAAGTGTTACAATTAGACCATCCAATTATAAGAGCACAGAAACTAAATTAAATTAGTCATTGAAAAGTTATTCCATACAGAATAAAGAGTAAGGAAGGAAACGGATCTTTAGTGATATATGAATTTATTAACTGAGCATAATTTGGTTAACAGACCCGATTATTGATTTGTTGCATGATTATTAACCAATGAGATTTACGGGATCCAAGGTTACCCTCAAAACCACTCACCTCCCATAAAATATCTTTTCTCTGATTGGTTGATAAGTATGGTGATAGTCTGATTGTTTGATGATATAAAGACATTGGTGAATGGTTGCTCAATTTAGTGGATTGGTTGAAGTTAGACATTAACACTGCTGGATGCCGGCTCAGTGGTCTATCGGTTAAGTGCTCGTGAACGAGACTGTTAGGTCCTTCGTTCGATTCTCGCGAGGCGAGATCGTGGATGTACACTACTGAGGAGTTCCACAATAGGAAAAAACGACCATTTAATGCTTCCAACTTTTCATTAACTATTTTTATATATTTTTTTAAGGTGGTCAAAAAACATTTCGTGAATTTCTTCGATCTGAATACAGTGAAGAGAATATTATGTTTTGGTTAGCATGTGAAGATATTAGAAAAGAAAGTAATTTAGAAATTGTTGAAGAAAAAGCTCGTATTATCTATGAAGATTTTATTTCAATATTATCACCACGTGAAGTAAGTTAGAAAAAAATTTATTTTTGTATTTTGTTTGTTAACCGATTACTGAAATCTCCACAAAACTCGTTCTGATCTATAATCATATGCTCACTAGTGACTGACTTCAAGGGATGTTTCCTTAAGTTCTAGTGGGAAGCAGTGACCAGTGGAGTTCAACCAAGTTTGTTGTAGAGATATCAACTCATTGAAGACAATTGGTGAACGGTTGCTCAAAATTGTGGATTAGTTGAATTTAGACATTAACACCGTTCAATGCCGACTCAGTGGTCTAGAGGTTAAATGCTCGCGCGCGAGACTGGTAGGTCCTGGATTCGAATCTCGCGAGGCGGGATCGTGGATTCGCACTGCTAAGGAGTCTCACAATAGGACGAGACGGCCGTCCAATGCTTCCAGGTTTTCCATGGTGGTCTAGCTTCAATTGACTCATGATTTCAACTATGAAATTATTTCTTTGTTTGTTAACTGTAAAGCTTGAAAATGAATCAAGATCCACCCCGAACATACAGTTCAGAACATTAGTTTTTTTATCACTTTCATGGTATGGTAATAACAGAGTGAAGAAGCACAGGGGTGGTTATAATGGAATGTATTTTAGCACAAATTACAGACTATCCCACTAAAATCTGATAACCATACAGTAAACAGTCAAATTGCAAACTATCGATGAATTGTCTCGATCTTGACTGTTCCTTCTACAAATATAAGTCCATCTTCTCTGATTTCATTGTTCATGCATTTTCACACCGATTGCGCTTCATTTCAGTTCTTTCCTTATCGGTCTTCTGCCAAAATACATTCTATGTCTGACCATCACCATATACTAATTATATGGATATAAGTAACCCACACCACAATACTATGTTCTTAAAAAGCAACCTATGAACTAGAGTAATCTGAATAGTTGTTTGTTGTCCTAGTTTAACGTTGATCAGTAAAACATATTCATCAGTAACTGTCTCATTTTTTTGGTGACTAAGTTGACTTCTTAGGGACATACTGATGTTAATTACCAAAGTATATACGATTTCTATCCATTAATTTTATATTCTTCTAGAATTTTCTCATCATTTTAAGTAAAAATTGTCCATTTAATCAATTCAAATGACCAATTACAGGCTGACTTTGGTTCGATTCTTTTCTTTTTTTTACCCCGTCGCCAGTTGTTATATCGTGTGAATGCGTGTCCTGTTTATTATATAAACGTGATGATCCCCGCCTATCAGAGAGCAGTGAATTATCGATCAGAGCAATGACACACAAAAGCCGTACGAGCAGTCTTGAGTACTTATCAGTCCTCCTTTCTGCCTAGTCCAGCCAGTTAAGTCCAGAACACCAATAATAACTTCTGCAATATGAATCATCATTCTCAAACATACTGGGTTTATATACCAAACAAACCGACCACATCACACCACAAAATAGAAAATAACATTAGGACAAGATTCGGCAAATGTGTCTGTGAATAGGGGGGAACAGTAATTAATGGACTAGGGATAACTCAAGAATGGTAAATCGTACAATAATAGCCTATGGGTCAAAATGAAGCTTATAAAAAGAGGTACACGAGTATGGATACATTAGTGACTTAACAATTATACAATAGGAAATATACATATCATATTGGTCCATAAATAATGTTCAAAAGTTAACATTCATAAATCTCCACGGGATATAACATTTTGGTCAAAGATGAAGATAATGATCATGGTAACAAGAACTGTTAACATCTTACAAAACTGTCGAGTAGAATGAAGTTCCATTGTTGAATTCATACTTGTATGTAAAATCATAAGTGAACTTCCCCGGATAAATCTTGAAGTTAGATAAAGTTATCTATCAGATTGACTTTTATATAGTTCAGATCATGAGTCAATTGAAACTATACCTTTATGGAAAACCTGGAAGCACTGGACGGCCGTTTCGTCCTATTGTGGGACTCTTCAGCAGTGTGCATCCACGATCCCGCCTCGCGAGATATCAGATTGACTGTTAGAAAATCTTCAAAAATATGTTGACAAGGCCTATCTCTAAATGACTTTCATTTTCAGACATAATCATATTCGTATTTTCATTAAATTTCAGTATCATAGTTTTTCAGTATGGAGTTATGGTGTTTGTTAGATTTTATTGAAATCATCGGAAATGATCACACAATGTTTTGGATTGAATAAAGTTAGATATTTAAACTAATAAGCTGCCCTTATGTCCACTTTTATACAGTCAGTCAGTCAGTCAGTCAGTCAGCTAGAACGTAAGACCAGGCACATATATGCATCGGTCCAACTTGCCATACCTCGTTAGCACAACAACATGAACACCGAATTCATAGAAGTTGTTAATTTAGTGGTGGTAGCATATAAAAGATAGGTTGTATATAAGGATATAGTATAGGAAAGAAGACAGATATGAAGCAATTTTAATCTCAAGGTTTAAGGGAAGATAAAGAGTGTATACACCGACGCCATTGTGATCGATTCTGAGCCATGTCACACAGAGTCTCCAACTATTGGTTACGATGACAACGGAAGAAAGATGTGCAAATAAGATCATTTAATGTATGATTTCCATAGTGCACTCTGAAATTGCACATAAAAACAATAAATTTACCCATCTAAGTTTTTGTTAACTACGGTGGGGCCAGTGATACATACTACCGAGGAGTTTTGTTTTTAAAGCTCCAATCAACAATACATCATTTTCATGGTTCAATAAGGACACTAATCTATTTTCTGTATTCATCACAGATTAATCTCTGTCAGGATACCATTGGAAACCAGAAAACACTAGACAACTGTTTCGTTCTAGTGTGAGAATCTTCAGCAGAAAGTACTTACGAACTCACAAGGCATCAGATCCAAAATCTTCAAGTCCGTAAACCAAACCTTACAAAATCACTTCAATTATACTGTGGTGTGGGTTACTTATAGCCACATAAGTAGTATATGGTGATGGTCAGGCATAGAATGTATTTCACTAGAAGATTGATAAGGAAAGAACTGTAAAGGAACGCAATTAGTATGAAAATGTATGAACAGTTAAATCAGAGAAGATGGACTGATATTTACAGAAGGAACAGTTAGGGTTGAGACAATTGATTGTTATTTTTCAAATTAACTAATTACTGTATGTTGGTCAGATTTTAGTGGGATAGTTTGTAATTTTCGTGTCTAATGCACTCGATTACCCTCAATCCTATTCTTGTTCACTACAATACCATTGTAATCAACTCACCAGTGACTCACTTCAAGAAGAAGTTCTGATGAGAAATCGTTACTTACTTACTTACGTTTGTTACTCTCAATGGAGCATAGGCCGCCGACCGGCATTCTCCAACCCACTCTGCCCTAGGCCTTCCTTTCTAGTCCTATCCAATTTTTGTTCATTTTTCTCATGTCTGTCTCCATTTTTCGGCATAATGTGTTCTTTGGTCTTCCTTTTCTCCTTTGGCCGGTCCCAAGCCCGGGTAAAGGAGGAGGGTTGAGCATGGGGTTAGCGACCCAATCTCGTAGAAAACCAACTCGTTAAAAAACGCTAACCAGATGAGAAATCGTAACTGGTAGATTTCAGACATACTTTAAGTAAAACAGTTGTTTGACAGTTGTATTTGATGTTCGTCATGCTTTATCACTGATTAATCGAAATTCGAAACTACACCATTGTATGGTAGTGGCCAATTAATTTAAATGATCAGGTGATTGCTTCTAGACCTGAAGGTCATGCATTCGATTCGTGGTTGGATAGTGCGTGGGTGTTGCATGGTGTCTAATATTAGAACTAGGCAGCTATCTCTGTTTTTCAATGGTATCCAAATTGGTATTAATTGATGATGAATACAATCCATAAATTAAACTTATTTCCACAAAATCCAATCAACACATACTGTCTTGGCAAGCTTTTTAACTGATACAATCAGCAAAAACAAACAGTATTCGTAAATTTTATTCAAAAAGAGTCATGTCTTTTTAACTTAACAGCTTTATTCCATCTTAATTTACTGAAATATCAGAATCAGGAAACGGTACGGTTTGCCTGATAAAATTCAGTAAGCTTATTAAAGGATTAGACAAAGGCATTATTGATTTTGAAAAACTAAGTAAAAGTAGCTCACTCGTCAGGTACTATGGTCTAAGTTACGCCCAAAGTGTAGTGATTAATGATACTTCCAAGTTTTTTGAAATTAAGTAGGTGTGAAGGGGTTTCGAACCCTTCACCAATGAGCCACCATTTCAATGATTATTGAGTAAGAATGTATTTCTATATGATTATAGATTTTGGAAAATTTTATAACCCACCTAAAATCATCATATATTTATGTTCTCGTGAATTTTTTATAGTCAGAACGACACCCTACTTGACTTAGTTTCCTTGATATTTAATTCTAGTCAATAAAACATGCCTGTCATCTCGAGAGAACTGATGTTCACAAATAGATTTTAACCTAGACTATCATACTATTTGAACCACAACTGACTTCCTGTTTTTTGATGGAGCTTTCTTCTCTGAGCTGGATAGTTTGATCGTGGAGCTTTCATCATCCTTTTGAGGGATTCAAGGTCGTGGCGTCAATTTTAGTACCTGGTGCTCACATATGATCGGTTCACAAAGGATTTCAGAGAAGACTTGACAATTAAGCAGCTACAATAAATGAGATTAATAAGAAGTTCTTTTATTTGGAATCGCAGTTATCAAATGACTTGTAGACCTTGTTCAGACTTCCGTGATGTCATTCGATGTAACATATTTTGAAGAAAGACGTTTGCTAGAATAGGAACCTCTTTCGCTCGATCCAGATTGAAACTAAGGCATATTATAATAATTGCCGCGAACTGTATAATAAAAGCACCAGTAAAATTGGCTGCAATAATCTCAGATGTCACTGAAACTTAGGCTGTTCAGTGGTATGAATATTGTAGGGACATATCCATAATAAAAATGATACATTTACACAACCGGAGTACACACAAACAATATTAAAGCTATGTGGTGGAGGCCGAAAGGGTTTTTGTGACCTTATCATGGCTCCAGAGACCGAGTATTATGGAGCCATATGGATGAGTTCCCCTACCTTATTCATTACGATTTTAGAACCTTTTAATCTTTTTTCTAACCTTGACAAGTTTTTGCACCATGTAAAAGGAAGTATATCCACTTTAATTCTTTAGTTTTGCATAATATATTTTTACTCTGTGCTGAGTGTTTCGTGATTGGCTAATATTTCTCAAGGTCACTTAAGATTCGTTCAAAGATCGTCCATAAATAATAATCCCGCCAGAATTCCTACTTCATTTTCGTTGGTAACCAGGTGAATGATAATAGAGTTTATCCTTTTATTCATAGTTAACCAATTTTTCAAATTAAACAGTCAATTTAACCCGTGTACAATACACTAAAATCAATTCCAATCTTAAGAATTGAATGTTTTAAAAGTATAGCAATCCATAGAGAAAAACAAACAAACAGGCAAACAGAAAAGGCAGTGGATACAATTGAACAAAAGTAGACTACAATGTTTTCAACAAAGAATACATGATTTCTTCATTCACAGAGAAACAACTTGTGTTTATTTTTTCTACCCCATTAACATGAATAATCAAGTGGTTGTAGATGTATACTCTATAAACTCATTACATTTGTAAGATATAAGTAATCTAATATATATCTTATTATTGTTTTCTCCGTTGATCATGAGGTTCTATGGTAGTGTTTGTCACTGAAAGAAGTATCAAAGAAGTATATTAACCTTATAAAGGCTCTCTACTCGAATACAACTGAGCTTATGGCAAACTGTCATCAGAATTGATTACCTCAAGTGGTATTCGTCAGGGCTGTCCACTTTCTACATCTTTGTTAAATTTTGTCGTTGACATGCTTTTAGAGATAACACTTTCATCATCTAAATCTCCAGGAGTTGGACTTTTACAGGGAGACTCACTTGTTGACTTAGTATACGACGATGACATAGTTCTATTTGGTGAAGATGCTGACAAAATGCAGAGTCTTCTGACCACCATGAGCATCAATGCCAGCATGTTTGGGATGCGATGAAAAATGTTACTTCAGGACTGGGTTGCACCTGTAGTGAACAAAACACTAGTTGGGGACAATCGAATGTATTTAAGCAAACATTACAGACTATCTCGGTAAATTTTGATTAAAAACAATGAACAGTCAATTTGCAAATTAACAACCAATTGTTTCAATCTTCACCGTTTCTTCTCTTATTCCATTGCTCATGCATTTTCCAAACGATTGCGCTTCATTTCAGTTCTTTCCTCATCGGTCTTCTGCGAAAATACATTCTATGTCTGACTCACACCATGTACTACTTATATAGATATGAGTAGACCACACCACACACCGACACCCGAACTATTGATAGGGAGTGAAGTAGTTGAGCGTGTCGACAACTTCACTTATCTCGGGAGTCTCATCAGCCCTTGTGATCTGGTGTGTGACGAAATCTCAGCACGGATACAGAAGACTCGACTAGCTTTCACCAACTTGCGTCATTTATGGCATAGGTGAGATATCCGTCTAGCAACCAAAGGACGGGTTTACTGTGCAGCAGTTCGTTCCGTTCTACTTTATGGCAGTGAAACATGGCAGATAAGAGCAGAGGATATTCGTCTTTTAATAACACTGATAACATAGATTCTAAGTTGGCTAGCTTTCAACTGTTGTACATCAATGAAATCTTAAATGATTTAGTTCTGTTTAATGTTGGTTAATAATCATTATCAAAGTAATTTAAAACGTCATGAACATCACGACTTGTTTACTTAATTTGCAAATTTGTTTCATGGACTTGGTTTAGTTGGATAACTATTGTAAACTAGGAAACAGTTAATAGCTAGTTTGACCTAATATGAAATACCTCAGTAGTACGTATTCACAACCTCATTGATGATCAAATCTATGACCTTTAGATTTTGTATTGAACGCTTAACACTTAGACTATTATCAGAAGGGGGTTTCGTGGAGATTTTAGTAATTTTATATAGTTGAGATCATGAGTCAATTGATGCTAGACCACCATCGTGGATGCTCACTGCTGAGGAGTCCCACAATAGAACGAAACGGTCGACTACTACTTCCAGGTTTTCCATGGTGGTCTAGCTTCAAATGACTCATGATCTCAACTTAGACTATTACTGAATTTGCTTCTAGTAGTTTACGTCTGTATATTCAATCAACTCTCGAGATGGCTCAAATATCATCTAATCTGTATTAATTGGTAGCTTTCTTATTTCCAACAATGTTTCAAGTGGTAATTTCCTTAGTTCTAGTAAAAAAGCAGAACCAAGATATACCTCTTTGAATGATAAATTTCATAATTAATGAACATTATGAACGTATCCTCAATAATAAATAACCTCAAGTTCGTTTAGCATAATGTTTTAATCAGTAAGGTTCTATCATGTTGAATTTTAAAAAAAAGATGTAACTGACCATGTTATTGTAAAAAGAACATGGTAACATTAGAATCCATAAATGACCTTTGAGCAACGCCCAAGTAACCTTGAAACGACTAGCCTACTTAATATGATGAAAATAGAGTTACAAATTTTGTTTTGAATCTTCCGATTGATGTTTAGGACTGCAATTGGTCAGTCTCTTATTGGTATATGTGCATACTGTGCGTATAGCCTCGATATAGCCTTAATTCACAAGGATTGTAAGCAAAGATGGATAGTGGCTAGCAGTGGAATCAAGGACGCGCGTTTCGTCCTATTTGTGACACGTCAAGTGGATGCACCTGAATTTCAGAGTTGTTGTTCACTCTAGGTCTCGAACCCAATACCTTTCACTTCAAACGCCATCGCGTTATCCACTCGACCACTGAGTCCTGACAGCCACTTGCTTGTGCAATGGGTGAAGTTTTAATTCACTTGGTATTGTTTATTTTGAATCTTCCCATTGATTTTTAGGAGTTACAAATTAGTACAAGGAAGCGGGTTAAAGATTTAAACTTAGAATTTGTGGTTAGGATTTAGAGTTAGGGCTTTTTTAACTAAAAACTGACATCACCAATAATAGGAAAACTCTATTCCCTCATATCAATGAATGGATTCTGCGCCAAAATCCATGACCTATTGTCTTAAGTTTGATTCGTTCGTTCGTAAATTAGAGTCTCACCAAATTCTTTTTTTTTTTGGTTTTTAATAATTCCCCCCCCCCCAAGTATCATGGCAAATATTTATGTACAAATCATACGCAATCCGTTGGTAATTAGTTCTTTAAAACGATTATTTTGTTAATAACTAGAAAAAAAGAGCTTGTGTTTTTTCTTCACTAACGTGATCGTCGAAACGGAATATCGTAGTGACCCATTTAAACTATATTGACTGTTATTCTCAATAATACCATACAAGAAATATCGGTTGGAGAACAGTAAGACCAAAACTAGCAATTAAGTATCCAAGGAAGAAGTTTCACCGCTGACTATACCGATTTATACTAGCAGAAAGACGTTTCCCTCAAACAACCAACATTTGGAGCTTCACTATCATCCTATAACAGAAAAAGAGTAGTTATAAAAGGTCGACTCTAAAAATGACTTATCTTACCGTGACCTACAGGTTTACCTTACTGTGGTGTGGTCTACTTATGTCCACATAAGTAGTATATGGTGATGGCAGGACATAGAATGTATTTTGGCAGAAGAGCGATAGGGAAAGAACCTAAATGAAGCGCAATTGGTAGGAAAATGCATGAACAATGGAATTAGAGAACATGAACTGATATTTACAGAAGAGACAGTTAAGATTGAGACAATCGATTGTTATTTTGCATATTAACTGTTTGTTGTATGCAAAGATGAATAGTGGCTAGCAGTGGAATCAAGGACGCGCGATTCGTCCTATTTGAGACTCGTCAGCTGGATTTACCTGTATCTCAGAGTTGATGCTCACTCTGGGACTCAAACCCAGTAACTTTCACTTCAAACGCCATCGCGTTATCCACTCGACCACTGAGTCCTGACAGCCACTTACTTATATGGTTAGGTGGTTTTCTTAGGAGGCCACACCCGGAGCCTTTGACCTAAAGGTCTAATCCACAAGGCAGTGGACCATCGTGAGGAGATGAAGTTCCATGGTAGCCGGTCACCAACGATCGATTCATACTCCATTTGTTCTCTCAGGATACTGGAGCCCATGTCCAATATCGGTTTGGAATGAGGGTTTTCCAACTCCCCTAGGTGGATCCTCCACATCCATCAACCCGGTTAAATCGCTGGACATTCGCTTTTCGTCCTCTCAATTTTGTAAACAACATCCCCGCCAAGAGAAGGCAATACACAGGGTTACATGACCTGAAATGAATATTTTAGTTTTATATGATTAACATTATTAAACTTTTTCACGATTTTACTTCATCTAAGTATCATCATTATTGTTTCATTTATTCAAGGTTAGTTTAGATTCTCGTGTACGTGAAATTATTAATTCTAATATGATTGAACCAACACCTCATATATTTGATGAAGCACAATTACAAATTTATACATTAATGCATAGAGATTCATATCCACGTTTTTTAAATTCTAAATTATACAAAGATATGATTGAAGAAATTAAAAATGAACAAAGTTGAGTTTCGAAACCAATCTAACTTGTATACACTCACACACACACACACATACACTCACACATAGATACAAAACCAGTCAAATACCAATGTAATTTGTATACACTCATTCACACACACTTACACATAGATACAAAAGCAGTCAACTAATGAGGAAGTAATTTTATCCTATCACTGTTTAACTATCTTAATCTATCCTTCTCACTCTCTCTCTCTCTCCCTTTCTCTTCTCTATTCCATGATAATGTGATAATGTTTTCAATTAAAATGAATGTTATTCATTGAAAAATTGTAAGATAAAATTTTTTTATCACTTTCAATCTTAATTCTCTCTTCTTTTTTTTTTACTCTGTAGAGGAATTCACAATGAAGTTTGTTTGTTTGATGAACCTCTTTTTTTTACAACTGATCTATTATTGTTGTTGCTACTACTAATACTACTGCCCAATACTACTACTTATATTCATATTAGTACTATTATACAAAACTGTATATAATTAGGTGTAATCGTTTGAAATAGAAATCCAAAATCATGACCTCAGTGAATGAATCAACTTTTTTTTCTCTCTTTGTATCATCATTATACTGCTACTAATAATACTACTTATGATACCCAACAGTGGTGGTAATCTAGCTGACTGACTGACTGACTGACTGACTGGTGTCCATTCATTCCAACAATGTATATTTTTTGTTCTAAAATCTTCATGAAGTTACACACACATTTACACACAAACAAACAATGAGCACAAACGCACATCTACACATACACACACACAAACACACAAAACCCCAAATCAATATAATGATCATTTGTTTTTTTTTGTTTGTTGGTTTTGTTCTCTTTTTTTTTCTATTGATGTTGTATCATTGATTCAAACAGGCTGGTTCCTGTATTACGTGATCAAATTGTGTTTTTTTTTCTCCTTTTTCCATGTTTGATTTGATTATGTAATTGTATGTTATTACTGTTGTTGTTATGATTATTATTTTTCATTAAAAGGGTAATGGTTATGATTGTTTATTTTTTTTCTTTCATTGTTCCTCTTCAATTTGTTTATTTTATTATTGTTAATGTTTATTTTTTAAAGTTAGGATTACATTAAAGCTATTTGAATGAGGGGAGGGGGGGGTGGAGAAAGGGGGAAGGGGGGATACTTATGCAATACATAAACACTACAGGAATATAATGTGAATAACTTACAATGTTTTTTTTCTTTTGTTTAAATCATTGATATTACTTGAATTATATATTTTTTTTCTTTATATTAAATTGTTTATTTTTTAATGTTTATGAATTATTGATTATTATTAATGACCTTGAAGCAGAAAAAGAAAGAAAAAAGAAAGAAAAGAAAGAGAAAAGAAAAAGAAATAAAAAAGAGAGAAAAAAGGAAAAAAAGTGTCGTTTGTTTAAATCTACTTTACTATTATCATTATTGATTAAAATAATATTGATTATTGTGTATTGATTTATGTATCGATAATTGTTTGAATAAGATTGTATGAATATTGAATGTTCATCATCTTCTTCTTCTTCTTCTCTCTTTTGGCAACAAAAGAAAACAGAACAGAACAATATACCCAATTATTTATTCTAAATAAAATTTATTTCCAAGTAGTTATATATATATACAGTAACTGATAGAAGTACAGTATCAGCATTTATGATAATAATAGTAAATACCCAAATGAATAGTTGTGAAGATACTACTTATTATTCAAAGAAACCATTATTGTTTTAATATCTATATTATCTTTATATTTAATGATAAGTTTTTTTTCTTTTTTTTCGATCTTCTCTTTGTTATTCTTCTTTTTATATTGATGATTTTCTTTACTTTTTTTCCTCTTTTTTTTCTTTTTTTCAATGTTCAATGATTCAAAATTAAATTTTTACAAACTAAAAAATCTTAACAACATGATAAGAGAGGGACAATGAATTTTTTTAAAAGGGAAATACAATTGGAATTGATCATAATTAACCATGTATTCTTATTTTGTTTGTTTTTTTCGGGGCGGGGGGTTGATTTTATTTCAGGTTGAATAAATGATGATTTAATTCTTTTAATTGTGTGTATGTGTGTGCATGGTTTCTTTTTTTTGTTTGTTTGAATGAGTGAAATTATGACAATTTGTAAACATCTCATATTTGATTGTTTGTTTTTTTCTCCCTATTTATTCTCCCCTCTCTCTCTTTCTCTTCGTGTTAACATATATATATACAATGTATACATCTATTAATGTATTATGATTAGCATTTTTTATTAAGAAAAAGAAAAAGAAAAATTGGTATGATCACAACCGAAATCATGAAGGGGGGGGAGGAGAGAGAGTAAACTGATAGAGAAAAGTATAAAAGGCCGAATGGTGAAATAGCTGTTTAATATTATTATTGGTATTTTCAATTTTTTTTCATTAAAATTTATTCTATCTCACTTTTACTAAAAAAATACTTTAAATAGTATTGAAATAAACTGATAGTTGTAATTCGTCTAATTTTTATTTATTTATTTATGTTATTGTATTAATGAAATTGTAACCAGAAAACAAAATTGACTTTTTATTTGCTTTGATTTTACAAACTACTTAAAATGAAATCAGTAGCCACACTCTATTCATATAATTTTTGGAATATTTTAATCTTCATTTATCGTTCACAAAATTGATCTTAAATGATAGGATCATATACTATACAACCATATATATATTGAGGAACTAAACTAGTTATTAATGTAGGTCTTAAAATAATTTAGTGAAGCTTCTATTGTTAAGGAAATTATTATGAATTTGATAGAGGCTATCATTAGAATCTAGGACGCGAGTTTTTGTTCTGTTTTAGAATCATCAGCTTGATATGCCCTCATCATTGATCTGATTTTTACACAGAGAACCGGACCATTTTGTTTTAAACAAATGTCTTATTCAGTTACCTGTTGAGTTTAGATCACTACTAGCTTGAGTAACAAGAATGAATTTTCAATCCATTTGTAAGAGTATGAATTCTCTCTCTGCTAATGTTGAAGATTATCGTTGATCAATCTGTTTTTGTATATGTGCATCTACAGTAGATTGTCTCGGTATTTAGGCCTTCAAATTGAACAATGTTCATGGATCTTTCGATGTTATTTAGACTCTGATCATATTATGTTGAATACACCAATCACAACCAATAGTAGACCCACGGAATACACTGATGACGACAACCTACAAAACATTATTACAAACAGCCTACACTCAATAAGTCCAGCGTAAAAACCAATAATAGAAAGGAAACACAAATGAAATTGTTATTAAGCTATGTCTGACAATTTACACTCAATATCCAAACACACCTTGTTCCCACTAGCCACAGATCAGTATCTATGCAGAAAATTAATTATTCATATCTTCATTTTTTCATTCAGTAAGAGTATTATATTACTTACTTGCTTACTTACGCCTGCTACTTCTCGTGAAGAAACATACACCGCCCACCAACACTATCCATTCAACCCTGTCTTGGGAAATACTTTCCAGTTACAATTCATCTTTTTTCATGTCTGCTTCCGATTTCCAACGTAGTGTGCTCTTCGGCCATTATTTTTTCCGTTTCCATTCAGGATTCCAAGTTAGTGCTTGCTTCATGATGCAGTTTAATGATTTTCGAAATGTATGTCTTATCTAATTCCAAAGTCTTTTCCTAATTTCCTCATCACATGGAAGTTGATTTATTCCCTCTCACAGTAGATTGTTGTTGATGACATCCAGTCAACGGACAGTGAGTATCTTGTGCAGACAATTGTTTATAAATACTTGTATCATTTTGATGATTGTGGTAGTCAGTTTTCGAAGTTTGAGCTCCATACAGTAGAACTGTTTTGACGTTCATATTAAAGATTCTGAATTTGATGTTAGCTGAAAAATGTCTTCAGTTTCATATGTTCTTCAGTTGTGGGAATGAAGAACTTTCTTTTCCAATCCTTACCTTTACATCTACATCGGATGTGTAGTGTCTGATAATATCATAAATCTCACATAGATTATTCTAGTTTCTAGACAAACCAGTCTATTCATTCTTCTCAAGCTACATTTTGATCTTGTTGATTATTCGCTTAATAACCCTGTCTGTGTGTTCATTGCTTACCTCATTCATCACATGTCTGTAACTTGTTTTCGTTACGCTTGATCAAAAAAGAGTTGGTTCACTCACCTTTCCCACTAAGTGTCACTTTGTTTTACTTCACTTCTTTCGTTTCATTTCTCTAATTGTCTCTATGGATCAATGAGTATATCATATATATATATATATATATATATATATATATATATACGTATTCAAAATTCATTCTCATATTTGACTTAGTTCATTCCGTTATTCTCTTACTTGGATTAGATCGATGAAAATAGATCACAGTTTGTGGTATGTATATTAGAACAGCAATCAGCATAAAAGTTAACTGGAGTCAGATATACAGCAACTGAATGATCCTCCTAGTTCATCGATGATACTGACCAGGTACGTGAAAGTTTACATATCTTCCAGAGCTTCTCCAAAAGTATTATATAAGTTTATTAAATAAGCTATATTTACAGATAACCAATTGACTGAATCTAACTAACTTCAAAGTTAGAATCTTCAATACCAACGTCAAGACAGTCCTACTCTACGAAGCTGAAACGCGTAAAACTATTAAGTCCATCATCAAGTATTTATAAACAATTGTTTACGCAAAATAGTCAACATTCACTGGCAGCGCAACAGCGTTTTAGGGAAGAGAGCAAACCAGCTTCCAGCTGAATAGGAAATTAGGAAAAGATGTTGTAACATAGGACATGGATAGGACATACATTAAGGAAATCAACAATGTACATTACAAGGTAAGCCCTAACTCGGAATCCTGAAGGGAAGCTGAAAAGAGGAAGGCCAAAGAACACATTACGCCGGGAAATAGAAGCAGATATGAAAAGGATGAATAACAACTGGAAAGAACTGGGAAGGAAGGCTCAGGACAGAGTTGGATGGCGAATGCTGGTGAGCGGCCTATGCTCCTCCACGAGGGGTAACAGGCGTAAGTAAGCAACTAAGTAATCGATTGAATCTACTACTTGTTATTCTTATTGATATTGTGTGTTTTCTCTCTATTGATAAGAAAGAGTACACTTAATCACTATCTGATAGTATGTGAGCTTCTTGTAAAGATGACTCGATGTAATTTATAGTTATGTGTTGATTCTACTGTGACTAACAGACAGCAATTGAATACAGAACTGAATTAATTGAATATCAAATATTTTACTAATAGCTAAGTAATCTAACTACTTGTTATGTTCAATTAAAAGTCTCTTAATACAAACGTTGTTTGTTATATCCTAAGATTATACGTAAACCTGTAGACCATCAAAGTAAATGATCTGTATCGAACGATCGGGAGCCCACTCGAGTTAGATGGGAATGGTGTCACGAACCAGCTAACTTCGAAGTCATACCTCACGGTCAGCACCTAACGTGAACTACCCATCTGTCCCACCAAGGTACTATGGATGTTTTGAAGACAGTACAACATTAAGGATGTTATTACAGAAATACATTAGTTAAAGTAGGTGCAAGAGATAGTGTGACCACCACCTCATGGGCGAGTCCATGACGTACGATTGATTGATGTACACTGGTCGGCCTTGAACTTGACGGCGATCGATGATCTGTTCGACATTCAGTGACCCAACTGCCGAATGATTTGGCTAGACCTCATTGATATTTCACTGACCCTACAAACTCTTTATAACACTTCATTTTTTATATTAGAACAACACATGAAGGCTTACATTACTAGTATCAATGAGATTAGCAACCGGCTTTACGCTAATATAAAGGAATAATCGTGGGGATTTGTGGAAGTATTGAACGTAAGCAAAGCACTTTATTAGCCATTGGTCACAATCAAGTGGATTACATAACCATACACAAAAGGCGAAGAGTAGTTTTAAGACAAGTGTACGAATAGGGCAATGAATAATGAAATGGTTGAAGTTAGACATTAACACCGTTGAATACTGGCCAGCTCAGTGGTCTAGAGGTTAAGCGCTCGCACGCGAGACCGATAGGTCCTGGGTTCCAATCTCGCGTGGCGGGATCGTGGATGCACACTGCTGAAGAGTCCCA